TTTAAAACTAGGGTCTCATGCTGCTAGGCAAAGTACTCTTCCACTGAGCTAAACTCAGCCACAGATAAAACTGTCACTAGTGAGCCATTGAGGAAATACTGAGAAATACCACTCGTGTTTTCTCTCTTTGCTTCCTAAGCTCATTGTGTGCTAGCCACAGAAGGAAAAAAATATCTTATATTGCTTGTTGTGTACCATAGACTGTATTCTGCAGGAAAGCATCCAAATTTGAAGAATCTCTCCCAATAGGCACCAAAGCTGCTGCTTCTGGTTAGAAATCTTAGTGCATCCTAGATGAATCAATCCAATAGCCTAATCATTTTGCTAGAAAATAATATTCATTATCAGAAGCAGTGTGATATGAATTAAAGTGACATTTGATAAGTTCACAGATGGTGTTCCTGGCAGAAACTTGGTAGACTAGGTAACAAATCCTTGTCAAGAATGTGTCAATTTCAGAGCAGACAGATTCCAAGTCTCTCCAGGTTGGAGGAGGCCTTGTATAATTAACCTGCCGTCGGGGGGCTAGCTATTCCTTTTGGGATATCGGACATATGACAGGACACATGGTTGTCCACTGCTGCCTTTAAATTGTGTGAGCAACAGAAAAAGAAAGGCTAAGTCCAAGCACAAACTCTTTCTGGAGTGATGACCACTTTGTGAATGAGGCCACGTGATAATTACCAGAATGACTGTAAAAAGAGACTAAATTGTCAAGCCGATCATCTTGACCAGTCTTCGATTAAAAGCTGTCCAGTCTGTTTAATTATTCACATGGGATGCAAGTATTCTCAGAGTTTACATTTAGGCTGAGAGATTTTTGCCCCACTCCTCATTATCACCATTCTTGTAACCTTATACCTCTCAAGTCCTTGACTTGCTAAAATTGACTATTACCCATAAGTTGATGTAGATGAGGGTATCGGGAAGTGTACTATATAAAATGCCTACTAGGGATATTTATTATTAAGGATATTTATTTTCCTACACTGACCCTCAGGCTATCTCTGAGTAGGATTTTCATACTGCAGCAGCCCACCTCTGCAAGTGGAGTGATTGAAAGCAGCATTAAAAAAATAATACAATACTTCTGGGGATTTAGCCAGACAGCAATGGCAGCATTGCAGGAACGGATGCCACCTGCTCTTGTAACCTGTGTTTCCAGGAGCTACTTTAAGCCTGTTCATATATAAGTAATTTTAAAGGGGGAGTGGAATTTTGCAAGAATTGTCTAACTCAGTAAATTACATAACTCATGGTTTTGTGGGAGTTTAATCTCCATAGTCACACGGTGTAATGCATATTCAGTCTCTACTAGGATCCAATTTCAAGCCTAAGGTTTCTCAAAAGGAGACTGCTATGATTACTTACTGAAAAGGATAGGGTTCTTTAAAACTTGGAGGCACTCTATGGCCTAGATCTGTTAGAGTGTCCTGTTCTGTTTATGCCATGTGCAAAACTGGAAGACTTTCAGGTGACTTGTTCAGTTATTTGGAGAAGCACAGCCAAATGTCACTCAAGCTGTCTCCAAAACACTAAAAAAATCCAAGCAAGCATTGTTTCCTTTTCTTGGTGACAGGAAATCCATGGTGCAACATTGTTCTTTTAAGTTGGAGGAGACATTTGGAGAAGCTGAAACCACTGGCCTGCCAGAAATTTAACCAAAGTGACGGGACTATGTTTTTCATGCCTCCTACTGTTTGGTAGGTGTGTGTTTTGTGAAAGTATCTAGGTACGTACTCTTCCTGTCTAGCGATGTGTTAGTATAATATCAGTTTATAAACCACTGCGCTGTTCTGGGGACTAAATTATGGTAGAAGCAGAGAGTTCGTGTTGTTCTTCAGCAGGAAAACCAGTGAAGTGTTCCTCTCTCCCTGCCAGGTGGAAGACAAAATGTACCCGGTGAGAAGGAATCGAATCAATAACTATCTCCCGATGCTAGATTTATGTTCTCTTAAATGACAATATCTTTGTGATATGATGTTTGATGCATGCATGATATGGCAACCTGATTAAATTTAAAATAATGCATTGCTGCAAGAGCAATCCCTTTTCTGGAAAGGCCAGGCAGATAAATTAGATGATAGCATGATAGTAATCACTAGTTATGTATCTTTTAAGTATTTAATGTGGCACTAGTTTCTGTGATTACTCCAGGTATATGGTACTGATTCTGATTAAACATTTGGTAGGGAGGATAGCTCCAGGGGCTTCCAGCTAGCCGTTTCTGCCATAATAACTTTTAATCTGAGGTCCAGTGTCTAATGTGATTTGGGCAGTTTTTGAGTGTTATCTATTCAAACTCCATTTCGAAAACAGAGAAAGTATCAACAAAGTGGTTTTCTGGGAGCGCTGGGCCCATTCGAAAACTAAGTCTTCAAAACTGACTTATCACTCGGCTTCCATTAACTCCCACTGTAGCCAGTGAACCACGGTAACTTTCTAGGTTCACAAGGATAAACAGTGGCTGAGAGGCAATGTTCAGTAAGCCCAAAACAGTGTTTTGCTTGTTTTCACAATATACAGTCACCCTGGCAAAATGACTGCATATCTCACTGGTGAAGGCCAGAGAAAGATTTATACAGCACTTACATGCAAGTTCATTGCCAGGTTTTCCCTCAAGGGTTTTCTGGATCTCCTACTTCATTGATGAGTTTTGTGGTCTGTCAACTGACTCAGGCTTTGGAGTTTGTTGTCAGACTTTGTCAGATCTCATGTCTTTGTTCTTGAGACCTAGAGATTTTTATTACTTTTTTGCTGTTTATTTTTGATTCTTTTAATAACAAAAAGGACAACAGTAGTGGAGTAGGGTACAAAAAATAAAGACAGAAAGTAGAAAGGGAAAAATCATGATTTTAAAGTTGTACTTTTAAGAAAAACTGAGGCTTCAGGACACATAATTTACCCAAGTAACTTTTTTCCTCCTAGGAAACTCACTCTAAAAAAGATTCCTGAGGGTCAAAGACACGATAATCTTGGGCGTGTGCTTTTCACCTATAAATTATGCTTCCTCCCACAGGAAGTAGGAAGTATATTTCAGCTTCAAACATGTGTAAACGGTTTGTATTTTAACACAGCCCACAGATGGGTCACCTGAGACACAGGCACACACGTCCTGAGCCACCCATCTTAAGAACACCCCCGAGGCCACATAAAATCCTCATCCCTGACCATAAAGTACCTCTGTCCTGAAGGCCTGAACCTTACTCTCTCTGAGGGTGCACTATTTAAATTCTGCCCAATAAAGCTTTTCATGTGCTTGCCTGGACTTCCAGCAGCAATGTGGTTGGAGTCAAAGGTGAACATCTAGATGAGAGGCAGGTGGGAACTGTGTTCTCTTTTATGGCCCTGACTCAAAGCCAGCCCCAGGCCCACTCCAAAGAAGGAGAAATAGACCTTCGCTCTTGAAGAGAGGACTATAAAAGAGAAGCATATGGGATGGGAGATACTGTTCTACCTTCACTGAAAAATACTACTTAATGCCTTCCCTTCAAATAGTTCCCACTTGCGTTCCCCAGGTTTTTGCTGATGTACTTTATAATATTTCGCTTGTGTATGTACACGCACATTGCGTATATGCATATGTGTGAGCTGTCTCCGTGTTTTGATTTGGAAATAGGGTTCTGGAAATTTTTCATTATAGACTTGTAGATAGTGATGACTTTCAAGGAAGGGGCTTGAGGAGACGTGTATTTCCCTTGCAAGCTAATTGCTCCATGTAGGTCATTACATGAAATTCAAGAAAGGCAAGCATTGTCTCTTCAGGCATATCAGGAAGAGCTGCTTTTGCCAGCCTGGGACAGCTCAGTAAAATATTGGAGTCTGGAGTCCTATGAATCATCAGACTCCTCCCATTTGTCCCATTCTGTTTACTGGGAAGTAATTAGAAAGGTGATGAGGCAGTGAAATAAACTCAGTGACCTGTAGGACAGCACAGTGTGTTATGTTTTCCGTTGTGATAGTCCTGCGGCCAAATTAGGCAAGGTGTTCTTTTTAGGACACATATAGTTCTACAACTTAATCCATATTATGGTTAAACATTAGGCCTGTCTGTGTTACAGTTCTGTTTTTCTGAGAGTGGGAAATAGGGAGGGAGATTGTGAAGAAGCTGACTCATGAGATGGTGAGGCCTGGCGAGCCTGACTCTCTAGGGCAGGCCACAGGCTGGAGACTCAGAAAGCGGTTGACACTGCGGCTCTGCAGACAGTTTACTGATAGTCACTGCTTCCATGAGACCAGTCTTCCTTTTTTAAAATCTTCAACTAATTGAATGCCACCCATCTTTCTCACTCAAAGTCAACTAATTTAAATGTTAATCTCATCCAAAAACACTTTCACAGCAACATCCAGACTAACATTTGACCAAGTATGGGGACTGTAGCCTAGCCAAGATGACACATAAAGTTAATCATCACACTTGCCATTTTCATCAACAGTAAATACTTCTAAGCTAATCTGCAGGCTTTTTCCCACATGTTCTCTCTCTCTCTCTCTCTCTCTCTCTCTCTCTCTCTCTCTCTCTCTCTTTTATTTGACTGTTTGAAATGATCTCAGTGTGCAGTTCAGGTTGGTCTTGAACTTGCAGGATCCTTCCACCTCAGCCTCCAGAGAGCTGGGATTGCAAACCGGCTCTCCCATTTGATATAACCACCATTACTTTACCCTTGAAAGGTTTGCCTGGATAGGCTCCTCATTCCATTTCACCAAGTGATAATTTAAGTAACTCTCCACTGATGCCGTGGTCTGAACTGGTGGCCTTTAACTTGACCAGGTTGAATTAGTATTTCCTGAAATCCCTGTTGTTTACTACAATATCTTCTATTAATGTGGCCTTGGTTAATGTTGTTGTTTACAATAACAGTTCAATTTGGTTAGTTAAGTTAGCGCTAAAATAGAGTTAGTAAAGGATAACAGGTACCTCGTGGGATAATTCAGACAGCTGGAGCAGACTGCTGTGTTCACATAAATAAAGTCTCCCACCACATGGAAGAATAGCTGAAGCGGACTTGGCACTGTTGCTGCTGGCTCCAGATTACACAGTTGAACTGGCTTGAGGAGAAAACTCCTGGTTTCCCAACCCATCAGTGGTGGAATGAAAATGCCTTGCTTCTGTTATGACACATTGCAGAGGATGGAACAGGAACGGTTTAAGCGATTAGTTTGAGGGATTAGTCATCATGAAGCTTTGAGTACCTAATTTCAAAATGGTAGCCGCTGTGCAGTGCAATCATTTCCAGATAATTAGGTGAGAATCTGAGCGTGGCCTTGCTCTTCAGAACTCAGAGTTCAAAGTAACCATTATATATACTTTTTCAAGGAGCGAAATGCTCTAGGTTGAGGCAGGAAGGATTCTGCAACAGTTCCAATGATCCTCTCTCCTGAAGTGTGTTCCCTGAGTGGGAACCGCGACGGTGATGGAATCACAGTCCATGATGCCGTGGACTCCCATGATGAGGTTGTTAACTGACTGACCTTGAATTCATCCCAAAGGAGCTGGTCCTGGGTGAGCCTGCCTGTCAAGCGAGTTCTTCGGAAGGAGGTGAAGCGTAAGTGACATGGTCTGCTGACTTGACGACTGCCAAGTCATGAGAGAGGAGTGTCCTTGGCTGGAACCTGAGGTGGTTCTGGTGAGTTAAGAGTTCCCCCTCATCAAGAGCCTGTAAGAAAACGGGGACTTCATTCCTCTACACAAGGAACTGAATTTTTACTAGCAATCTGAGGGAGCTTGAAACAGGCGCAGGAGCTGGAGATGAGGAGGTGGCTTGCTGTCATCCTGATTTCAACCTAGTGTGGCTGCATGCACCTAACTCAGCATTGTATATATGTCCTACCAGGCTTCTGACCTGCAGAAGATGCGACGTAATAAGCGTATTGTTTACGTCACCAAAGTGTGTGGTATTTCTGACTTAGCAATAGAAAATGAATATAAATATGATTAGGATCAATTAGTGAAAAATTATTAGTGGTGTGAGAATGTCTGTTCAAACCTCTTTGTGTACACATTGGGCGTGGAGACGGCTGGGGACGTGGTGACAAGAGAAGAATAAATATCAGCAATGCTTTCGTGAGTCCACCAAATGCATCTCTTATTCAGGCACAGGATTCTTGTGCTCTGATATGTGATTTAAAGAAAGCTCAGATTTTTGGGTCAAAAGACCTGCCTCCTACCTCCCAGACCTCCTACAGAACTTGATCTATTATTAGCACACTGTAAGTGGTAACTATTTTTTCATTATTGTCAAATGCACAGAGGAAAAAATCTCACTCTTATTAATATCTTCATGCTTTTTTTTTTCAATTCTACAATTTAGCAATTCCTATTGCTTCCATTATTAAAGCTAAAATACATTTTCTTGAGTAAGCAATATTACATTCGGTATATGCATTTCTGAGCACATGAATTATTCATGTAAAACAAAAACACTTTAGCTATTTCTTATCAAAAAATCATAGTGCGTATCTTCTTTTATATCCCAATTAACTGTACGGAAATAAATGAAGAGTGGGTGATGGCATAAGTGTGTTTTGCCTTTTTGTTTGTTTTGTTAGTACCCACTCGCTGTACATGGAGTTTATATTCATCTTAGGGAACAGGTACGCAACGCGTGACACGCTCCGTTCTCTTTTATTCACTTTTCCCTCCTCAGCACCTGCTTCCCTCCATCTCTAAATTCCATCCCCGTGTTTTCCTCTTTTTTAGTAACTGAATCATACTTCTGACTGACTGATTTGATTCCCAAACACATGATTTGATTTCAAATACTGTTTGAAAATATCAAACGTCTGGGTAATGGAATGTTTGTGCCATATAGATCTACCTCAATTTTTAAGCCGCAAGATGTTGAAAACCTTTATGTTCTCAGCTACTTTTTTTTTAAATATGATCACTTAGAAGTTAGAAAGTGTGTTTGCCAGTAAGACAAGAGAAGTTTAGGCAAATTAGGACTTCTTTTCCCTCCATATTACATGGTGCCTGAAACAAAGCATTTCTTCGTTGATTTGTTTCAGGCTCCTTCTTAGCTTTCATTTGACCTCCCGTCATGCATTCTGATTACTGGGAATCTGGCTCATTGTACTGTGTCTGGCATCGTATCTGCTCTGTAAGGAAAGAAAAAGAGACAAGGGAAAGGGAAACATTTGTTAGCCGAGTCTCTACTGCTTCCAAAGAAGTTTCCTAGAAGTTCCACTTAATGTCGCTAATTACATCTCATTAGTAAGAACACATGGCTGTATCTATTTGCTGTGAGATATTAAAAAGAAACCTAGTTATGCCTTTTTTGTTTGTTTTTTTCTTAGTCACTTTGCTGTTCCAAAATGGAAGACAGTGAGAATGAAGAAAGTTAGGAAGTTTTGGCAGATGTAGCATAGAAAGCTTAATATTATTTAAAGAAAAAGAACTATATGTACTTTTCAGTTTTCAACTGACAAATTCCAATGATTAAACTGGATATTGTGAAGCGATGTGATGATGGAACACGATAATATTACTTTGATACAAAAATTTAAGAAGTAATCAAAATAACAAGTTGTAAGTAAATTCTATTAAAAGAGTTCTTTAGCTGGATGTGGTGGCACATGCCTATAATCCCAGCACTCGGGAGGCTGAGGCAGGAGGATTGCTGCAAATCTGAGGTCAGCCTGAGCTTCATAGTGAGTTCAAGGCCAGCCTGTGATACATGGTAAGACCCTGTCTCAAAAAAAAAAAAAAAACTCTCCGATAAGTAAAACTGAGCTGAAGATATGCCTGCCTGGCAAGTGCAAGGTCCTGAGTTCAATTCCTAGTACCAAAACAAAGCAAAATGGTCAAAACCCAATGAGCCTTTTGTGAGTTCTTTTTCACTCTTGAATTCCATTAAGTACAAGTTTTGAAAGATAACTATTTAAATATTTATTTTTCTAAAACAAAGATCCATACTAATACTCTAGTTCTTTTGTACATTTATAAGGCAATAAGCAAAATGGTCTAAGGAAAAAATAACCATGGAGTTAGAATAAAGAGATAATAATAAACTGAGACATGTTCAATAAAACATGAGGATTTCCATTTTTCTGAACAAGAAGGGAAAAGATGATTTGCCCGAGAATACTCTGATTTTAGGTACAAACTCAGTTGAGTCAGGTGGTTTTTGCCTGCTGAGGAAGCAGATTTAGTGCCAGTGCAGTACAGTGTTCAGTGTAAGATTACCTAGAAATGTGGGTGCTCTGCTGGAACTTAGGACTCTGGGAAGCCAAGCCAGCACCTCCCCTCCCTGGTAAGCGGCAGTAGTTTAGCCCACTGCAGCCCTTCCAGGGGGAGAACTAGCAGTGTCTCCTGAGATCCATGCCATGCTGGAACTTAGGACTCTGGGAAGCCAAGCCAGCACCTGCCCTCCCTGGTAAGCGGCAGTAGTTTAGCCCACTGCAGCCCTTCCAGGGGGAGAACTAGCAGTGTCTCCTGAGATCCACGCCATGCTGGAACTTAGGTCTCTGGGAAGCCAAGCCAGCATCTCCCCTCTCTGTGAGTGGAGGCAGGGTGGCAGCCTGCAGCCCTTCCAGGGGGAGAACTAGCAGTGTCTCCTGAGATCCACGCCATGTTGGAGCTTATCTCAATCTCTCCCTTATTCTTTAAAAAAATTATTTAGTTATTTCTTATGTTTGTTTTAATTAAGGGGAAATTTTTAAAAAAATTAGTATATATTATAGTAACTCTTTTTGATTTCCTATTAACTTGTTTTGAAGTCCTGTAATACTCCCACGATCTTGTTTTGACTGATTAGACTGTTCCATTCTGTATGATAGTATCAAGTTTGAGGGTATAGGCAACTACTTTGAAGACAATAAGATTCACTAAGATACCCATTCTGGTTTGACTGTTGTCTCCTTTGGAAGTCCTGTAATGTTTACAATGCCTAAGTTTTATTGGTCTTGTTCTCTACTGTTTTGTCCAACTTTATAATATCTAATGAGATAGACTATTCTTTTTAAGGAAACAAGAGACAATTTTGATAACCATTGTTGATAACCTTGTACTCTGTTCTACATCATGTGCTATGTCTATCCTTGGTTTTGACTGACAGCTTTGTTTTCCATATTTGACTTTATTCTCTCCCCCCCCCAAAAAGTAATAAGAACTAAGGAGTAATAAAATCCAAAATGTGTAAATTTTGTTGTAAAAAAGAGCTCTAAAGGATATAACAGCAAGTGTGTTAAGGGGTGTTAAATAGCTGACTATATTAATGTTTTTGGATTATTGAACACAGCTGTTTGCAGTCTCTCTGTTTGAATGTCCACTTTGTATTCTTTGATACTGTGATTTGAGCAACTATTTCCAAGATGATAATATGTAATCTATTAGCAGGTGATTTCTTACTATTATGTTTTTTTTTTTTGTAGTTCTGTATTACGTGTACCCTTACACCGCTTTGTTTTGTTTTGTGTTTTTCTTTTTCCTCTTAAATAAAATTAAAAAAAAAAAAAAGAAAGAAATGTGGGTGCTCACAACCTAACAACCACTGTCATTCAGCACACTGTTCACAAAGCGTGTACGAGACATTTTCTACCAAAATACATTTAGTGTACTAACCAGCATATAAAATACGTCTGTGGCTTTGTTCTTCTCGTGTGCAGAATGGTAAAATAATTATAACTAGCCCACAGAGTTGCCAGGCTTAGAAAAGTTAATACGTGAAAATCATATCGAATGTTGTTTGCTACAAGATCAATGTTGTGAGACTTCACTACTATTTGTTACTAAGCGAATTAGAAAATAAGGTTAAGGTGTCCATTCTTTAGATGCAGTTATTGTGAGGTTGTCAGATGGTAATTTATTCTTCCCGTAAGGATGAAGAAGGATGGTTGGAAGTTATAGTTCTGCCTCCCAGTGCTCTTGTTGGTGAAGAAAAGTTCATTTCACTTTCATTCACGTGTGGCCTCAGCAGGGCTTTGGAGAGGACTGAGCAGAAGAGGAACACTCAGGGGTCCATAGTGATTAGCGCTCATTACCTGGACCCACTGTTTCCTCTGCTTCTTTGTAAAGCTTCTTTTATCCTTGTTGGTTATAAGTTTTCTGCTTTAAGTCTCAAGACTGTAAATTACCTGATAAATCTATTAAAGAGAAAGAAACATTTGCTTCCAGAAATTGCTTTGTATTCTCGAGCCTCAGACCAAGTCGACGCTGCTGTTGAAATAGAAGTTAGCAGATCACTGGGCAGCATTATTTTAGCAGAAGAACAATTACTAAGTACAGTAAGCAAAACAACTACAGAAAGACTTACAAAGCCAGGCATGAGGTGCATCCTTGTAATCCCAGCACCTGGGAGGCTGAGGCAGGAGAATCGCCATGAGTTTAAGGCCATTCTGGGCTACATAGTGAGTTCAAGGGAAGACTAAACTATACAGCGAGACACTGTCTTTAAAAAAAAAAAAAGACTTACAATACAATGTCAGCTATCATAATATGATCATTCTGTTGAAAATTATGTACATTCTGACAAAAACATCTTTAGGAAAGTGGGAAAAGGCCCCAAGGTTAGTGCCCTGGGTCCAGTCCCGGCTCTGTCTCTTAACGTTGTGCCTCCCACTGGGAACTTGGCAGGCATGAAAATGGTCACTGTATTTGACAGGGATTTACCTAAGCTTCTGTAACAAA